GGGAAGCGGGGGCAGGGGCCGAGGCAGGGGCGCTGCGGGCAGGGCCCGGCCCCGCCCTAGTGTAGACGCGGCCCCGCCCCGCCCGGGGGGCTGAAGGGACCCGTGTGGGGCACGCGCAGGCCGCGGGCTGCCTGCCCCTCGCGGCTCCCCCTAACGGAGCCCCACACAGCCCGCCGGGGCTCCTCCTACCGGAGCCCGACACAGCCCGCGGGCGCAAGCACCGTGAAACCTCTTTGCCAAGTGGGCAAGGAGCAGCGAGCCCTCCGGGGTCCTGGACTGCACCTGGGCAGCGCTTCGCATCCCATTCTTCTGCCTCCGGCTCCAACGGGATCCTTGTTCCCAGTTGGCCTGAGTGTTGGGAGCACCCCGCCTGTCCGCCCACAGGACGGTGCTGCTCCCCTCCCCGCCCCCACAGCACTTCTCCACTGCAGATCATTACATCTCCACAGCCCTCTCCCCTGCCCTGTGCCCACTTCACAGGTGGGAGCGTCTCCCCTCCAGGGAGCTTTATGGCTTGCCTACGCAAAGGGAGGTTGCGGTTTTCCCCTCTCTGGCACCAGAACACAGCTCAGTCCTCCAGAGGCCTGCACAGTCCCAACCTCCATCAGATTTCCATTAGCTCCGGCAAGTGTTTCCTGCCAGCAGGCTTTGGAAATGCATTTTTTTAATTTATTTTCATTCAGCTTATTTCAGTGTAGAACTGAAACACCCATTTGATTCACCTACAGCTGGTAGGCAGACGTTTCAGGTATTTCTCTTCTAGAGAAGTGGGGTTGGAAGGGACCTCCAGAGATCATGGAAACATAAAAAATTGGGGCTGGAAGAGACCTCAGGAGGTCACATCTAGTCCAAACCCCTGCTCAAAGCAGGGCCATCCCCAACTAGATCATCCCAGCCAAGGCTTTGTTGAGCTGGGCCTTAAAAGTCTCCAAGGATGGCAATTCTACCTCCTCTCTAGTTAACCTGTTCCAATGCTTCACCACCCTCCTAATGAATGGGTTTTTCCTAAAATCCAACTTAAAATCTTCCTTCCTGCAACCTGAAACGCCTTGTTCTGTTATCCATCACCACTGAGAACAGTCTAGCTCCATCTTCTTCGCCAAGTAGGCAGGGAGCAGAGACCCCCTGAGGACCTTCACTCGGGTCACCCAGTCCAACCTCCTGCATGGGGGCAGGATCATTCCTATCAAAGCCATCCTATACAAAATTCCATCACCTAAACTCTTCATAAGACTGCTGTCAGCCCTGACATAATCCAGATCGAATATCTTATCCTGCCACAGGTAAAGCAAAGCAGGGGAACCACAGCAGCCAACATCCTGCGTCTATGAGATGTTGTCAATAAATACTCAGGAGATCTCATGCACCCTGCTACAGAGGAAGGCAAAAACCCCTACAATCCTTATCAAATCTGACCAAAAATGGCAGTAGGTCTGACCCAGAGCAGAGGGGCAAGACCCTTTAGCCAGGAACCAGCAGTACCCCAAAGTCAGCCTTGGCTGTAGGCAACACCCGATACCTCTGCAGAAGGCTTAAAAACACCCTGACACTTGTAGAAAGAAGGCAGGTGGGGGCAACCAGCCAAGCCCAGAAGCATGAGAAATAGCCATTATAGCATGGGAAATTCCCCTACGCTTAGATCACCCCCTACTAGTGACTGCCCAACATCTTGAACACCTTAGTCTATGTCCACTGCTTCACTATTTTCTAACAATGAAGATTTTTTCCAGGTATCCAATCTAAAAAACTTACTTTGCTACAACTTCAAGCCATTGGCCTCTTGCTCCTGTTTTATTTTCAAATAATTTATATTAATTCTTTCAACCATACCTTCCAGATCAACTTTGCCTGCTTTCAATACCCTCATATCCAATATCTATATCTTATTCAATATCAATATCCCCCTAGGAAAAAAAATGTCCTTGTTATACCTTAGTTTTGTCATCCGTGAGTCTGGTTGGGAACTGGCTACACCTAAGAGGTAAACCCTCTTGGTAAAGAGGAAATTGGAACTTTTCAGGATTAAATGATTTTTATTCCAGAGTGAAGAAATAGGTGAATACTGACATGGAGAAGACATGTTATTCCCCATGAAACAGAATTGTCACTTCTTAAAATTAGTAATAATCTGTATATTTCAGTTTGGACATGAAGCTGGTTTGTTTTCAGTTTGAACTTAATCTAAGCCAGGCATTGGCAACATTGTTTGTGTCGGGGGCATTGAGAGGGAAGGTCTCCTTATACAGAGCTTAGCTCTAAGCACAGGCCTCTTTCAACCCAGAACACACCACCATAGCTTTCACCATGGCTTCTCCCCACTGCCCAGGTGGACCCCCTGCCATAGAAACTCTAAAACCCCCAAGCTCCTTGAGCCAGATAAAATGGCTCTGCAGGCCATAGCTTACTACCCACTAAGTGATGTTGCCATTTGCAACTCACCCATTGTGTTATGACAGCATGTTGCATCGCTGCTGTAAATCTAAACTGGCTTATGAAGCCGCATAGTACTCCCTCATTGGCAAATGCAAGTTCTAAGTAAATACATTAGTTTCTTGTTTGGACAAAGACAAGCTGGTTTCTCTAGGACAGGGGTGTCCAACCTTTTTGAATGTGGGGCCGGATCATGAACTTTTGATCACCCAGCGGGCCGGCAGGAGCAGGCGCTCGCATGGCCTGTCCAGTCCGGCCGTGGCCTGGGGAGGCAGGGGTCAAGGGGCGCCGCCTGACCCCGCTGTGTCCTCCCTGCCACCTGGGTGGCCTCGAGGATGCTTCCACACCTGCATGCCTGGGCTCAGCAGCCAGGGGCACATGCAGGGACCCTACAGGGGGGTACAGGACCTGCAGGGACACCACCCTGCTCCCTCTCCCCTGGGGCAGCCCATGCCCGACCAGCAGGGCTCCCTCCCTCCCCAGGGCCCGTGACTCACCACCCACGGCGTGATGTCTGCGGGTGCAGGGGGAGGCGGGAGTGGTGCCAGCTTCCCACCCCGACAGCCACAGCAGCAGCGGCAGC